GGGACCCACAGGGGGCCTTGATATGGGCCACATTTCCTTACCCCCACAAACTTAAAGAAATTTGGCTTAAAATCCCAAAATTTCCCTAGCCAGCCATGCTGGCTGGGGAATTCTGGGAGTTGAAGTCCACATATCTTAAAGTTGTTAAGGTTGAAAAACACTGATATGTGGAATAGTTTCTGGAGAAAACAGGAGTTACAGTGGGGCAAAAAAGTATTTAGTCAGCCACCAATTGTGCAAGTTCTCCCACACAAACAAGCAAGATGTCTGGCTCTCACAGACCTGTAACTACTTCTTTAAGAGGCTCCTCTGTCCTGGTCCCAGCTCTCTGCAGGTCATTCACTAGGTCCCCCCGTGTGGTTCTGGGATTTTTGCTCACCATTCTTGTGATCATTTTGACCCCACAGGGTGAGATCTTGCATGGAGCAACTACTTCTTTAAGAGGCTCCTCTGTCCTGGTCCCAGCTCTCTGCAGGTCATTCACTAGGTCCCCCCGTGTGGTTCTGGGATTTTTGCTCACCATTCTTGTGATCATTTTGACCCCACAGGGTGAGATCTTGCATGGAGCAACTACTTCTTTAAGAGGCTCCTCTGTCCTGGTCCCAGCTCTCTGCAGGTCATTCACTAGGTCCCCCCGTGTGGTTCTGGGATTTTTGCTCACCATTCTTGTGATCATTTTGACCCCACAGGGTGAGATCTTGCATGGAGCAACTACTTCTTTAAGAGGCTCCTCTGTCCTGGTCCCAGCTCTCTGCAGGTCATTCACTAGGTCCCCCCGTGTGGTTCTGGGATTTTTGCTCACCATTCTTGTGATCATTTTGACCCCACAGGGTGAGATCTTGCATGGAGCAACTACTTCTTTAAGAGGCTCCTCTGTCCTAGTGGGAGAACTTGCACAATTGGTGGCTGACTAAATACTTTTTTGCCCCACTGTACCAGCCAGACCATGAGGGAGGCTTCTGTATCTCAAAAGCATAGAGTAAATCAGACAATAATCCATCTTCTGAGATGGGAAATTCAAAGCTACCTCTCACTTTCCTGGGGACCCTGGAGGCAGGTCCACGGAGGGGGGAAGCCAGGAAGAGAGAGCTGAACGAAGAGAAGTGCTTGGGGGAAAAGCTTAGCCTGCAGTGCTTCTGTAACAGCTCCCATTGTTGGGCAGATTCCCTTGATCTCCAAGGAAACTCCTCAGAAGTTTGGCAAAATAGAGGAAAAAAGCAGGTAACTGGCAAAAATTATTTTCAAAACTCTCTGTAGCTCTCTCTCGAGACTTGGATTAAGTGACAAACACCTGTGAAAAATAGTTTCCCAAAAAGAAAAGTCCCTCTACATCTTGAGCCCCACTGTGATAAGCAATGATACACCTAAGCATACCAAACTCTGCCCCAGTTTTTAACATTTTGAAGTCATTACGGCTCAAGAACCCCAAAGTATGTGGTTCTTGGTTAACAAAAAGGTTTTGGAGAAACTGTTATGAACCTGCTTGCCTGATAAAAAAATCAACCAACAGGCAACCAACCAACCAGAGAATATAGCATACTATAATGGTTCATGGTTGAGTCTTTCTCATTTTGATCCAATATTTGGACTGTACGGCTCTATAAACATGTTTAACTGTGGCTTTAATGCCTAAGCAGTAATTTTTCTTGCAGTGTTTAATTGACATGGCTGTGGCAGAACCTGCATTCACTAGGTACTGTATAGTAAGAACTACTTGGTTTGAGGCCATAAGAAGTCTGAAACTGGGAGGTTGAAACTGTGATGCATATGGTGGAGATGCTGAAATAATGATCTCTCTCACCAGCTTTGCCAGCACTTCATGTTTGAAACTTCCAGGGCCTCATACTTTTACAGCATCTCCTAAAAAGAGGTAATAACCTTCACTAAGCTACTTAGCGTACCAAAACCACCAGCGTTTCCTGCCAAGCACTTACGGCATGACAGCCACACTCTGCAACCATGCTGAAATCATTTAGATCCTTTCTAGAGTGCCTGAGTCAGCATCAACCTGTTAGTGCCAACAGTGGTTATCAACTGGCTTAGGCACAGCTAAACGGGAAACCTTGGATTCAGCTGGACTGCAGATGCCATTGTGTCTGTTGTGTTTTCCTTATGAATGAAACTAGGCACCACCTTTTCTTTCTTTCTGCATTGTGGGAAATACTCCACAGAAGAACCTGCTCACTATTTCTGGGAGTTGGTCAGGGTTTCTGCGAATGCTGTTTAAAAACCTCTCGAAAAGTTTGATATTGGAAGGTTAGGAGACTTGTTCTTTCGAACAGTAATGAAAATGGGTGGCATTTCATCTTGCTTGAAGCAGTAAAAACAAGAGACACATTTATAAAAAAAGAATCTGGTGGGAAGTCAAAGGCAATAAATATATAAGTTCTCTAGCATTTTGGAAAAATCATAGCTCAGCATATATCACATTTTACATGTGGAAAGTCACAGATGCAGTTCCTAGCATCTTCAAAAAGGTCTAGAAAAATCTATTTCCAGCAAGTTTGGACAGCCACTGCCAATTCGATGCAGGGGTATCCAAAGTGGTTCAAAGCATTCCAGCTTCTTTCAGCAACCTGCACAGAAGGCCATGGCTCTTGTCAAAGAAATACAAGGAGACTCCTGCTATTTACATGACATGCTATTTTGGACTACGGTCTTGTTGGGTTTTTTCCTATAATTCTGAAGAGCCTATAGCTGTCAACTCCTAGAATAGTACAGATCTGTTTGTTTTACAACAACCATTCAGAAAAATCCAGTCTATCAGCAGGAACTATGAACCTGCAAATGAAAGGATTCTAAGGGGGATGGCTTTAGTACAGGTCTTTAAATGTGGGGGCCCAAGGTTCTCCAACCCAACGGCTACAGAAGAAGGACACTCCAAAGGTTAGTGGGCTCTGCAGCAAAAATGAGCTTTTCTTTCAACGTATGTACATTTAATTAAAATGAAATCAATTAACATGGTTATTTTCCAGTCATGTATTTAACTGTTTTTCCCTTTCTTTCAGTGAAAAATGATAACTTGGTAATCATTTTTGGAAGTTTCCAGGGGTTGCAGTGAAAGCTTTCAGGGTCATCAGGTGATGTGTCTCTGGACAGCTAAGCGGACACACCGATATGGAAGTTCACATGGTTCCAGTGAGGCACAAAACAGACTAGTGGTGGATTTCAAACTAGTTCAGTGAGTAAATGAATATGAATTTTTCTCCTTAATCATTAAAAAAAAATCTGAAATACTATTAAAAAATAGTGTCTGTTGCTGATACTTTCCTACTACTAGAAATAAAGAAATCTAAAGCTGTCATCAAGCAATAACATTAGGAAAAAAAACCCGGCAGAGCAAGGCTTTGCTACCAACAATACAGATTTTTTTCCACCATGTCCACAATCAAATTTTTGAAGCACTAAAATGCTTTTAACCTTGTACATTAAAAATAAAAGTATTAAAGCAAGAGCAACAGTCCTGCTTTCAAATTCCACGTAATTTTGCTTTCTGTGTGCATTTTTCTGAAACGTGTTAGTTCCAAGCACAGACAACAGAGTGAAATAACAGGTAGTTTGCATGTCATCTCAGTGATGCAGAGACTGATTTAAAAAATATGAGACCCACCCAGTGAGTCATGCAGAGTCAAAATAGGCAGCCTTTTCTTTGTCTGAGGATCACAGCCTTACTGACAGAGGCCAATCTTGGCATGCGGAATTTCCTAGCATCACCTGTTTAATGGATCAGGTAGCAAGTGATAGGAAAAGGAGACTTGTTCCCATCAAAGAAGATAAAACTTTGCTTGATGAGTGAACTATCTTTTCCTAATTATTTAATTCTGACAATTCTGTGGGGCCTCATAAGTGTGTACCCAGCACACAATTTGGAAGTTATGTTGAGAGTATCTGTTTGAAATTATCTGATCAGTTAATGCTTTCTTGGAGCATCAGGTAACAGACAGCAATACGTTCTTTTCATCCCCCCCTTTTCTTTTAGTTTTAATTCAGTTTTTAAAAAATACTAACAGCATAATGCTGTCATGTTTTCTCTGCAATCCAACCCAAACAACGTTTACTTTCCATGGCTGTGCAAACTTACAGACAGATGTCCACCAGCTGATTTAGTTCAGGGCAGCTGCATTCGTACAAGTCTTTGCAGCTGGCATGGCTCTGATTCATCAAATCCCCCAGCAATGAGATCGCATCATCAGGTGCCTCCATGCAGATTTTCTTAAACTCCAGAACTCTGGCAGCTTCAGCGTACACATGCTTAGCACGCTGGTACAACTTAAAGGTGGTCACTGTAGAAAATAAGGGGAAAAAATAATGCAGGAAATAATGGAAACTCAGATGATTTATTACTATCAGATGTAGCTGTGCAACTTCCAAATATAGTTGGTCAGGAAAATGATCTTTATATCTACTTTATTTCACCTCTCTTTGCTCATGTTAAAGTATAGAACTACATGCTGTAGTTTGTCACAATCCAGGATTACAGGGACAGCTTCAGTGTGTGGAACCTCGCTTTAAGCACAGATTGAATGTGGATGGACTGATCTGCACAACCAGAGGCAAATTGGAACAGCCTGGCTGGATCTGGAGAAAGAGAGTGGTACCACAGGCGGAGGACTCGTGAAAAGACAAGTCAAGGAAAGAGAAGAAGAAGAAAAAAATATCTCAGCAAGTAGATTCAAGATACAGGAGTTCCAAACAGGATGTCTAAATTATGAATACACAAGCCATTGGAGATCTTTTGACAAATATTACAGGCCAAGAATAATGAGTTTCTTTCTCCTCTTGCTCCTTGGAGCCCATGGGCATACACAGTTCTGGGAGTGATAATTGCTGCGTAGGAAGAACTGAACAAAGTATGGTGCCTAAATTCATGTCATTTCCCCCAAAAGGACTGCTACTATCGTCTGTTCCAGCTGGTTAAAAGTGGAGCTCTATTGGTTTAGGGTGCAGAATCAGAGGAGAGGGGTGTGGGAAGAAGAGAAGGAAACTTGGGAGGAGCACAGCAACTTGTCCAAGGTGCCAATATTATTTGGCTTGATATGAAACGTAACTCTGCTTCATAACAATGGACCTCATAGGACTAATGCCTGAACCCATCATGGTTTTGGAATATGATTAAACCCCATAAAAATATTTTTTTACAAAAAAAAGCTGAGTGCCCTGATCAAAATTGCTCTCTTGGGAGGGGTCACTTAACAATGGATAGAACTTGCATAATTTTCAGTCTACCAAATTCATTGAGTACATTTTGTCCTCCAGCTCATGAATTAATCGCAGCTCTTTTTGCACGGCGTGTGTCACTGCTGGAGTGTTTATAGAGGAAAGCCTACAAAGCAGAGCACTCATCCCTGAGCAGCTTCTATCCCCAGGATGGTTTTCCCTTTTTAGTTGAAGGAATCGTTTCACCTTAGGGCATTTTGAAATATGCCTTTGTTTTGGACATATCTGAAGTTGCGTGAGCTTGCCATCACTCACACTCTCTTGTAAATCACCACTGAACAGTAGTAACCCGGAAAAAAAAAAGAAAGAACTCAAAATATGTCTGGTTTCGATTTGGAGGCAAAGGATTTGCCAAAGGCTGTGATTGATTCAAAGACCACCCTTCGGTAAAGCAATGCTTCACTGGCCAGATTACCTTAAAGCACTTTGTGGTTCTCTCAAGCTCATCACGTTATGCATTGGCAACAGGAATCATCTGTTCATTCCTGCCTGCCAGCCAGACACTGAGAAGGCAAGCTCTCTACCAGATTCTGTCACGTTGCAGAAGGCTCCGTATCCTGCACATTTGATTGCTGCCTCTAATCTAGTGTAATCTTTTCAATGCAATTATTACATCCCTGGTGAAAGAAACTGGGGTTGCATTGTTGTTTTCTTAGACTCTCTTCTTGGAAGTAACTGTTGGCCAATTAAGCAAGTCAGAAATCATATCACATTATTAAAGAGATCTGTTTCTTTTACTATTGCTGGAGAAAACCCAAAGTGTTTACAGATTATAGATTTGGGTAACAGGACAGCCACTTAAATAAAATAAAGGTGTTCACCTGCTTTTCTCAGAGGTGGCATCAAACTTGCCAGCAGACCTCTCCCACGTTCCCTTTATGTGACAGTCTTTCATGTAAGAACTGCTGAAAACTGATAGCAGAAATTCTTGCCATTTTAAGATGGAAAACACATAAGGGAAACCCTACAATACACGTCACAGTTAAAAAAACAAAGAAAACTTCAAAAATTGCCCCCCACCAATGTGTAATATGGCCCACCTACTTTTCAGTTCTCAGGCTGCCAAAAATGTTAAAAATGATCTTCTTGCCCCTATTTTCCAGACTTCTGAATATCTAGAAAAGCTGAGGTTGCTGAGATTCAGTTCATTCAGTTCAGCTTCCATGTAATGCAAGCATCGGTAAGGGTTGCTACTGTCTCGTAGCCCTTTTTTTTTTCTGAATCTGTCCCAAGTGAAAAAGTGAGAAGTATTCTAATCTTACAAAGTAAATGATATGCTCAAAAGACTGTTGTACACTATATTTTGGTAAGATTTTTGCATTCCACTGTTCAAACGTTGTCTGCTCATTTAAAAAGATCTGTATTCTGAAGATAGGAAGAGAGAGGAAATATGGAGAGAGGATGGAGAGAAATAGATAATAAATAGTAGATAACTAAGGTGCTAATCTCATCTTGGAGAAAGTGTATATCTGTGTGGTTGCTAAGAGTCAAAACCAGCTTGATGGCACCTAATCAGTATCAAACTGCTGATCACTTTTTACAGGAACAGCAGCAGTCACTTTAACATAAATACTCAAACTGGACCTCTGTGGAAAGGAGATGTTTGAAACAGGCTGATGGTTCACTGATCATCTCATTGGGAGAGATTTTGGAAGGACATCTAATGTTAACTGTGGTGTTTCAAAGGGCCATCCAGTATACTTAGCAAAGGAGAGCCCTCTACTTCCAAAGAGTGAATGCTGTTTCTCCTGAAATTTGACTGAACTGCCATTTCCATCTTGTAGTTCTTGCCATACTTTTTTGGGGGGAGTCAAGTCAATTTTGACTCCTGGTGACTGCCTGGACTAGTCTCTGCAGTTTTCTTGGCAAGGTTTTTCAGAAGTGGCTTGCCATTGGCTCCTTCCTAGGGCTGAGAGAGAGAGTCACCCAGTTGGCTTTGTGTCTATGGTGGGACTAGAAATCACAGTCTCTCGGTTTCTAGCCTGGTGCCTTCAAGCACTACACCGCTCTTGCCATACCAGAGAAGCAGAAAACCCATGGGATTTCTGACCCTACCCTGATATTGGGATATTGATTCCTTTGTGTTTATGGAGCTTTTCTTGCCCAATATGGGGTAAGTTTAACTTGTTTTGGGGGGGGGGGGGGTTCTTCTTTATTTTGTTTTTATATTTTGGTGTATTGTATGTTGTCTGAACTCACTTTGGAGACTGAAGCAGCTTATAAAATGAGTAAATACAGAGCTCTCCTGCCTCCCGTTTAAGTTTTAAAGACCCCAATATTTTAAAAACATTTTTTCTCTGAAGTTAGAAAACAAGTTTTCTCTGAAACAATGAAATGTTTTTCCATCCCTCCACACCCTTCACCCACTTTCAAAATTGTGGGCCTTTTAACTATAGAACTAAATAGAATGATTTTATAAAGTTTCAAGCATTTTGCTTGAAAAACAAATTCAACGGAGTTTGTTGTGGAGGAATTCCAATTTTTTTCTCCAATCGCATCCAGAAGCTGCTCCTTACTCTGAATTTCAGAACATTATGTAGAAAGAAAAAAAAAACATCAAGACTATGTTGTACTCTTAAAATACAGCAGTAGAAGCACTTATAAGGGCTTTCCCACACGCTGTGTATTGCTGGGGGGGGGCCAGGTAGCCATTGCTAACCCGCCCAGACACCCAGATTGTCTCAGTAAGCTGATCCTTTGTTGCGTAATCCCCTTTTCCCAGGACCCAAGAAAACAAATGCAATCAGTGCTGAAAAATTACTTTTCTGGTCAAAGCAAGTGTATATCTTACACCTGTGTCAGTCTTGAGATGCTAGGGTCAGCAATAAGTACTGATTGCAGTGTGTGACAAGCTTAGCTCCTCGTTTAGGACAAAGCAAAGAAAGCAGCAAATGATGGGAAACAGGGACAGTAAAAGGCCAGGGGGACATGTAATCCTCCAGATATTGCCAAATTAGTTCTCAATTTTTCTCACCATTGTTCCTGCTGACTGGGGCTTCTGAGAGTGGCAGTTTGGTAAATCTGCAAGGCCATCTCTGAATTAAAGATTGGCACTAAATAAGAGGGACAGATTAGGCAGTCAGATGAAAGTGGGAAAATAAGTAATGTGCATTTGTGGCAGTTTAGAATGGATTTAATATTAATAGTAGTGCTTGAGGCAATAGTGAAAGGCATTTTTTCCATATGCTATAAATGGTCTGTTAAGCTTTTCATGTGCCACTGGCATGAATGAATTTAATGCATTTCTGAACGAGTAGGAATCTGGTTTTAGAATTTATCTCCTGGGTTCATTTATTCCATGTGTATCCCACTTTTCTTTGTCAAGGAAGTGGGGTTTCCATTGCTCTGGTTCAATACTGTATCCACTAGACAGGCCAAATACAAAACAACATAATGAAATCTATTCCTCCATCTTCCACTGTTCTCCACATTGTTACCAAAGAATTACATTCACAGCACTGAGATAAATCACATTTCACAAAACTATCTTAAGTAGATTCATAACATGAACAGAGATAAGCTGCACATTTTTTTTTCAATTGGGAAAGGTATCCAATATATTTGATCAAAAAATTTTCATGACTCGAAGGCTGACAGTGACTACACACACAGTAATGATGGAGAAGAAAGCAAGATTCAGAAGCTATTCAAAGTCTTTCTCTTGCATGTATTCAACATTTAAATTGCAGTGTGTGTGTGTGTGTGTGTCTGTGTGTATGCTGCAGTTTTTCACAATGACTTGTGCAATTTAAAAAAGGGTAACAAGTAAATCTTTATTTTGGTCATTGGCCAGCATAAAAATACATTGAGGGTGCCAATTTACAGTCATCGGAATATGAGCAACTAGGCAACAGATGTGGAAAAATAACTAAAATTTAGAATTACTAACACAACTATAAGTTCCCTTGCCTCTTTCCAAATAGCACCTACGCTCTTGTTCTCTTTGTGACTCCTTCGCTTGCCCCAGTACTAACTTGTTTAAATAAATACGAAAGCTCTCAAGATAATTTTGTACCACTTGAATAATCACTCCTATAAAAGTATCCCACACATTCCAAATAAGCTACTCTGTAGTTGCTCAATATGGACCAAGAGAGTACAGTCTGACCTTTGGAAAATAAAGTATGTTGAGCTAATGGAGAAAAGATGGCACCTTTGAGATACTAACAGAGAGAGAACAACTCCTTCCTCTCTGAGATTGGAACATGTATTTGTGTTAAAATGCCAGCAGTTTACAGAGAACCTTGTTTCCTAAAATAAACACTAGTCTCACGTTATTTTTAATAAGATAAAACTGTCTATTTTTCTTAATTCCCTTCAGTAAAAATGCAGGAAAGCAGATCTAGGAAAGATTTCTGGGTTTCTCATAACTTTCCACAATTTCCAGCTGTGAATTCTGGGAGTCTTCCTTCTGTATCTGGAGGGCACCAGTTTCAGAGAAGTTTGGATTATTATATGCAGTTATCCCACAGACACCTTGTTTTTAATCGAGGTCTTACTTCTAGGTAAGTATATATAGCATTACAATGTGAACTGCACAGGTAGATATTTATTTTTATTTATTTATTATTAAATTTGTATGCCACCCATCTCCCCCAACGGGTGACTCTGGGTGGCTTCTGATCCTACTTTCTTACAGATAAGCTTACAGATAAGCTTCTGATCCTACTTTCTAAAGTTCTACAGTACCTTGAGATTTATTTTGGCCATTGTTATTTTCCACGGTACAGAGCTACATTTTTAAAAGATGTGGCAAGCTCACAGCAACTTGATTGGATGCTTTTAAGACTGAGAATAATTCCACCCTCAGGTTTCCATGTCACAATTAGATTGG